CATTGCAAGGAGTTTATTTTAGCTGGTCGGGACTTCCTTTCCTGGAACCAACGGATGGGTTTGAGAAGGTTTAAGTCCACATTTAAATGTCTGGCCCAACGGTCATTTATTTGATCCTTCGGGCAACGTTTGGGCCGTAGCATCCTATAAGTGGATTTAACTGTCAGTGTATGTAGATAAATCCATTTCGGGGTATGCCCTGTTTGGATCTGTGGGATTTTCCAACGCCACTCCTCTAGGTCAAAAGGCAAGTCCCGAATGTCTTTGTCTGGATGGAAGGCTGACCACCCCTTTCCTTCATCCAACCCTCTGGTTCTGATGAGTTCTGTTTTGTCCACCCATTGGAAAGGGGCTGCACTTCCTTTGAGGGTGCCCTTCTGTTCTACAGTATAGTATTTTATTAAGGTTTTTTGTGAGTCTATCATATATACTCTACCAACTCTCCCTACCAGTCCAATGTGAGTCACCCGGTCCCCTTCTTTTATTGATGGGCCCTGTCTCAGTATTTGATACCATGCCAGGGGGATGCTTTCAATTAGCTGATCTAGGTGACACCCTATGTGGTGACAGTATCTGAATGTTGCTCTTAGTTGTTCAATGCCCTTCCAATTTTTACTCTCGCAGTCCCATAGGTCCCCCAATCGCAGGATCCCCCGTTTTACCCAGCCTTCCCATGGTGGGACTGAACTCACCATTACACGCCCTTGCGTATCTGTGATCCATCTGTTCACCAAAAGGGGCTGACGAAAGACCTCCTCCCAACGGTCCGGGGGGGGTCTATCTGGAAGCGGGAGTCTGCGCCAGGTTTTGAGGAGTTCTGACCACAACTTATCCTCCTGTCGCCCCGTCTGCTCTCCTCCGTGTTGGTGGTCCAACGACCTCTTCGGTAACCCCCCGGGATTGCCCAGAATCTGCCATCTATCCATCGTAATGGGTGGGTTCCTGGGGGGGATTCTGGTGCTAGGCGGGACAAATGTTATAGAGCTAGTGCAGTCCAAGGACTTCGGGGCGAAAAAAACAGTTTTTTGATCCACTGGAGTCGCAACGCTTGGCACTGGATGGTTGGGTCGATGATCCCTAGTCCCCCGCTTGCCTTTGGTTGTGTGACTGAGTCCCATGCTACCCGACTGATCACGTGGGTGCATTCACTGTCTCCTCACCAGAGGAAGGCGGTTGTCTTAGATTTCAGTTCTTTTAGCGCCCTTTTGCTTAACGGTCAGAGAAGCGATTATACCAGAGGGATCCAAACACCACGTTATTCAGAATCAGGGCCCGCCCAAAAATTGATGTGTGTTTGTTTCTCCATCCAGACAGTTTGTTCAAGGCCGGGGAGCTGATCCAGGCATCATTTGTAATCGGTTTGCCTTTTGCGGTCATGGTTATCCCCAAAATACGTAAGGGTGCTTCCAGTGGTAGCCACGTGATTCTTGGTGTCTCTGGAGGGCGGCCGCCTTGGTAATGGATCCACCAGCCTTGTGTTTTACTCCCCCAATTTACCTTCATATCAGAGATCTGTGCAAATCTGTCCATCATGTGGTGAATTTCCTCCATTATTTGTCTAGTTGCATCAGCTAGCCACTTCTGCCAGATATCAGACACTACTAGTAGGAACTACTGCCATAGCCACAAGAGCCATGGACCACCACTACAACTGGTGGCAAATGAGGAGACCCTATTGCAGAACACATGTTGTAGTCAACAACTACCACTCCTTGTGTCGGAAGTGCGCTCCACGTCAGCCCTTGACATGGCCACTTCCAGTGCCTCAAGGTGCCGTGCGTGCGCTAAGCGCCATCCAACAGAGGGAGCTGATCTGGACCTCCTGAGTTCGAATACAATCCCTTGTTCTGCCAATTTCTGCAGGTCATTGAGTCATTTTTCATTGATTCCATTTGGTCAGACACACTGAGGAAAGTGGTACCGTCTTCACGCGAATACAACGCAGTCTTTTTTTTTTTTTTTGCTGGGATAGTAGAGGGGGTGTCTGCTCTTATCAGCACCTCCCCTGCACCCCGTCATCGATGTTAAAACAAAAAAAAAAAAACGGAGCCTTTTTTTTTCTTTTTTTTTTTTCAAACACATTTTTTCATTGGGCTTCAATAACTGAGGCCAGGGACCTCACATTACTCCCAGGAGTCTCTGGAAGCATCATCCAGCTTAGCTTACAGGTATAAAACCTGCAGGTCTGTGCTAAAGACCTCGCAGCTCTTTGGCTGCCCTCTACCTGAGCCTACAAGACTAACCTACGCTACCCCACCACTCTACTGCTACTTCACTACTTTAATTACTATTGCTACTGTGTTACCATCGCCCCCTGGAGACAGACCCTATTATGGGTACCAAATAAGACTCCTGTGGGGCTGGAGTTGCATAACTAACAAGACCTTAAATCGGGCCCTGGAATAGCACTCCCTCCCATCACACCAGCTTTCTGCTGCCGTCCTACTGTGGACTGAAGGACTGAGTGCACAGGTGTGTAAAGAACGAAGACAAACAGAAGCAAAGGCCGTTTTTTTTTTTTGTTTTGTTTTGAACTCAGGCTCCAATCTATTTGTGGGGAGCATCACGTGCTGAGAACCGGGCTCATCGTCCCTTATGAGCTTCATAGGTGAAAGTTTGAGACAAACATGAGCATGAGACAATAACACAAAAACCACTGTGCTGGAAACCGAGTCCAGCGTCCCATGCCTCTGTCTGACCGAAAACTGGGGGTCTGCCCCTTCATCCATCTCGCCGGATGCCAGAACAAAATGAAAAAAAAAATCGACAACCGTTGAGCATGCAAGGTACATATTGGGCCTCACATGATAATGGACTCCTTGCTTTTTCCCCCAAAAAAAAATAAAAAAATGTTGGGCCTCACCAGACTACTCCCGACTTGGAGAAAATTTTCGGGAGTACTCCCGAACGTCCGAAGACTCAAAAATCCAATCAGGAGTGCACTTTGTCTCGTCTCACTGCACTCCGGACATGGGGCACTCTCCCATTTGGAAGCCAGGAGGCCCACTTCAGACAGAGACTGTCCATCACTGTCCAGCATGTGGCGATGAAACTGTGAAGAGAATCTTGTCTGAGCATGAGTTCTCCGGTTGAAACACAGACCTCCTACCTCTCCCGAAAATGGCCTTTTTTACAGGCGATTTCGGGAGTGCTCTCGGGAGCCACATTCTGACAGCTCCTGAATTCAATCTGACAGGCTGAACTCGGGAACTGGTGTGGCAACGCACTCCCGAAAATGGCCAGTCCGGGGGCAAGGTCCCACTTGCACGGATTAGGAGATTTTGGCCGTTGATCTCTGTAATTGGGACCTAGCCCCGGGAGTAGTGTGGGGAGGCCCATTAGGGTCCTAAAAGGGAACCTGAAAGGAACTGAAAGGAACAAAACGAAAGTGCTCCTACTCACCACACATGATACAACATACAGTCATTGTAGGAGGCTGTTGCATTTTGTGTTTTGGCGCTCTTACCCCCCAAAAAAAAAGAAATGTCGTGGACTCGAATGAATCAAAGACGGGGTCTTTTTGGGGTTTCTGAATTCGAAGAAAGGGTGGGGTCGTTGTCACAAGACGGTCCTCGGTCGTTATCACAAGACCTTCCTGTCTCCCCAGCGGTCGCGCCAGAGCTTGGAGATCCAACTACCACTACCATCTTCCCCCGAACCGAATACAAAGTACGGTCATTATAGCTGTATCTAGACTGAAGATGCCTCAAATACAGCTATAATGACCGCACGTTGTATTCGGGGGAAGAAGGTAATGGGTTTTGCAGGTCTTTCTACTTGAGTTGCAGGCGGAGTCCAGGCTTTCCCGTTTGGGAAACCGGTAGGGGTTGTCGAGCGCCGTAGAAAAGAGGGTATGGGCCACTTTTTTCTGTCTAAAAGCCAGGCCTCGCCACACCACTATCCAAACGAAAAGAGAATGAATGCATCTTTCGTAGAAAGCGGTAAGATGCATCCTTTGCTATGCTATTCGCTGGTGGGGTAGACGAGGCGACAGATGTGCAGAAGTTGAGAGGCTTTCCCAAAAAAAAACAAAAAAAAGGAGTTGAGAAGCGGATGCACGTGCGTAGAGTCGTGGCGCTGGAAGGTCGTAGAGCGCGTGCACGTGCGAAGAGGTTCTGCGACATGCGGCCTCGTCACACCACTCTCGAAATGTGAAAAAGACAAAAATGTGGGAGTTGCATCTGGCCATGTTTTAGCGTGAAGTTCGTTCTCATTTTGCACATTTCGAGAGTGGTGTGGCGATGCCCATGATCCATGATCCTCCCTCCCTCCCTCCGCGGGCTGCGCCTCCGCGCCGTGCGCGGTACACAGTCAAATTTTTTTATATATTATTATTATTATTTGTTTTAAAACAGTGATATCATTGCATTAATAAATCGAAATGAGGCCGGGGACCTCACAATTCAACCCGGAGTACTGACAGCATCAGCCAGCTTAGCTTACAGGCTTACGCCTTGCTGCTGATAAGAGCAGACACCACTAACACCTGGGGAGAGGAATAATGACCCTATTCGTGTGAAGACGAATACAAGGCACACGGACATTATAGCTGCATTAGGGGCAACTTTTGGACGGCCTGAATGAAGTGAAGGAGGCAAGGAGGGGGGGGTTGAGGGGAGGAGGAGGGTGCCGAGCCGGGCATGCAGGATGGAGGGATATTGTAGGTAGGTAGGTAGGTAGGTAGGGGCCTATACAGGAGGGGGGAGGGGGAGGGGGAGAAGTTGCGGGGCCTTGGCGGAGCGAGCGAGCGACCTCAGCAACGAGAGAGAGTAGCGGAGCCGGCGGCGTCTGCGACCGCGCGCGTTGCTGAGTCGCTCGCTCGCTCGCTGGCGCGCGGCTTGCCTCCCCCCTAAGCAACGCGCGTGCCGGCCTCTCGTTGCCGCCCTGTGTGCCGCGCTGCGCCTTCGCCCAGCGTCGCCCAGTGTTGACCTTGACCTTGCTGCCCGCGTGGTACGGTATACGTACGGAAACCGTTCCACGCCGTCGTCGTTGATCGGCCGCCGTGCTGTGGGCGGCAGCAACGGCATCTGACCGCCGGCCCAGCTTTCGCTTTGGGCGCGGTGGCAGGGATTTTGAGAGAGGAGGAAGAAGGCGACTGGCGGGAAAGGGCGGGGATTTTGAGAGAGGAGGAAGAAGGCGACTGGCGGGAAAGGGCGGGGATTTTGAGAGAGGAGGAAGAAGGCGACTGGCGGGAAAGGACTCGTCGGCGATAGGGATGTCGTACAGGGAAGAGAGACGGACGAGTTGAGGGAGGAGAAGAGGAGGGTGGGTTTCGATCGAAGGAAGAAAGGGGGAGGATGTGGCAGCCTCGGAGAACGGACGGCTTACATAGATAGAGAGAGAGCAGAGAGAGAAGAGGAGAGAAGGACGACGCTGGGCATCGCCTGGCGTTATTGTGGTATCCGGAGGAGGTAGGGAGGATAGAGGGCGAGGCCGACGCGGGCAGAGAAGACCATGCTTGGGAGCGTCGGGCAGAGGAAGACAGTTGTGCGGAGATGAGCGCAAGAGCGCGAGAGCGGTCGAGCCGTCGATCGGAGGAGAGAACAGCGCTTGGAGAGGCGGTGTGACTCGATCGACGGCCACTCCTCTCTGACGAGCTATCCTTGCACCAGTGTTACGTTGGGAGCCATTCCACTCTCTCTGCACAGCATCTTTCTGTAATAGGCTGATTGCACCGAGTTGCCTGCATTGCAGTGCATTGATTGATTGGTTGATTGGTTGATTAGGTTGATTGGTTGATTGGTTGATTGGTTGATGAGGTTGATTGGTTGATTGCCGGGCGAGCGGTCAGTCTACCTATGAATGCGCGGAATAACATCCCACTGATGAGCGGCGGCCATCTCGGCAGCCGGAGGGGGCCCTCTCTCTCTCTCTCTCTCCCTCTCTCTCTCTCTCTCTCTCTTTTCTCCTTTTTGTCTGATCTAATCTTGTCTTCTCTATACCCTCTCTGTTAGATTCCGTTGATTGTTTCTTTTGCACTTGTTTTCGGTGGAGGTCTATATTTGGGCGGTCATCATCTCGGCCGGGGGTTTCACACCCTGTAGCATCCTGGGCGTTATTTTGGCGGTGTCCTTACTTTGGCGGTTTTTTTTCCTAATTTGGCGGGGGTTTCCAATTCGGCGGGTTTTTTGAAAATTTGGCGGGGTTTTTCAAATTTGGCGGGGTTTTACAAATTTGGCGTTTTTTTGTTGGGTGAGCGACGGCTCTTTCGGTCAAAACGGATTACTCTATACGATTCCGATCCAGTTCTCAACTGGATCTTTACGGTCAGCCTCCTGTAGTACAGGACACTGGGGGAGTAGAGGAGGTACTCCTCACACCGGAGGTCAAGATGAAGAGGATAAGGCAAGAAACCACAGGGGAGAAGGTATACAGATACCGAGGCGTGATTTTCGTTATCGCCGTTCCCTTCGCCCTCATCTGTATCGTCCTTGGCTTGATGCCTCGCTTCTCCGACCCTAACTCTCCTCTAACCGCGCCTGTTAGACGTTATGACCCCGAGAATGCTGAGGGAGAGCGGTACGCCGTCGTCTTCGACGCTGGAAGTACCGGTAGCCGCGTCCACGTGTTTCGTTTCAACAGCATGATGGATCTCGTGCAGATCAGTGGCCAAATCGAGATTTTCGAACAGGTTGGTTGGAACATCCTCCTCCCTCCCTCCCTCCCTCCTGTGCTTTGTTTTTTGGGGTTTGTTTGCTACAATTTAACATTTACTTTAAATTCAACATCTACTTTTTTTTAATGCCAACAGTTGTGGTCTTGCGTCGCTTGCCTGATTGCCCTCCTCTGTGTTTGTCGTTCCCTTTTTGTCCTGCTGATCCGTCTCTCATTGTTGCGTAATCTTCTCGACTTTCTTGTCTCTTCTCTGCCTCTCTCTCTCTTTTGCTCTTCCCTTCCTTTTTCTCCTCCTCCTCCTTCTCCTCCTCCCGTTCCTCAGTCATTTTTCTCCATTTCCTCTTGAATGTCCTCCTGTGTCTGTCTCCTTTTCTAGCAGAATCAGAGACGTCTTGAATGCCTCCAATCCTCTCCTCCTCCTCCTCCTCCTCCTCCTCCTTCTCCTCCTCTTCCTCCTCCCTTCTTCTGCTTTTCCTCTTCGTCCTCCTGTCTCTCTCCTTTTCTGGCAGAATTCCAGACGTTTTGAATCTCACCCTATCCTCCCTCGTCCTCCCGTTCTCTAGTTTTTCTTCTGCTTTTCCTCGTGGTCCTCCTGTCTCTTACTCCTTTCCTAGCAGACTTAAAGATGTCCTGAATCTCCTCCCTCCCTCCTCCTCCTCCTCCTTCTCCTCCTCTCGTTCTCTAGTGTTTCTTCTGCTTTTCCTCTTGGTCCTCCTGTCTGTATCAGCTTTTCTCGCAGAAACCAATATATTTTGAATCGCCCAATCCTTCCTCTTCCTCCTCCTCCTCCTCCTCCTCCTCCTCTCGTTCTCTAGTGTTTCTTCTGCTTTTCCTCTTGGTCCTCCTGTCTGTATCTGCTTTTCTCGCAGAAACCAGTATGTTTTGAATCGCCCAATCCTTCCTCCTCCTCCTTTCGTTCTCTTGTGTTTCTTCTGCTTTTCCTCATTGTTATCGTGTTTTTCTCCTTTCTCTAGCAGAAAAGACGTCCGGAATCGACCAATCTTCTCTGCTCGTCCCGTTCCCGACCGTCTTCACCGGAATAGAACGGCCGGTCATTATCGATGTCTCTGGACTGAGAGTTGCACCAAATACAGATAAAATGACCGGGCGTTCTATTCGGGTGAAGACGGTAGTGCTTCTTCGTTTGCTTTTCCTCTTGGCTCTCTCCAGTCCCTTTCTCCTTCTCTAGCAGAATTCAAGACCTAATCGGCCTCAAGAAATGCTGGAACAATTTTTTTTTTTTTTTTTTTCAAATAAGAGAAAGACTGCGGATTCTGTCAGGCAGAGTGATACGAGCATCTCCCCCTAGTAAATGCTGGAACGCTAAATTAAGCAAAATGCTAATCCGGACCCATTTGAAAATATACTAAATTTGGAAAATATACTATATATTTTTTTAAAATTTTAAAGTAAGCAGCAAACTGTGGTTTTGGGGGTTGAGACGTCGAACCTTGCCTACGGTCGTCATCCAAATAAGAGGTAGAGTCAGTAAATCTGCTTCTGGACTGGAAGTTGCCCTAAATACAGCTATAATGATTGTACGTTTTGTTCGGTGGAAGAAGGTAGTGTATGATGCGTATAGCTCAGTTGATTGCAGAGCGAGCCTCGTAAGGATTACACTTCTCGGTAGGGCTTGCTGGGCTGAATCGGACCGCAATTTCCGGTCAGATACGTCCAATTTGAGTGCGGCGCAACGCTCCTGCATTCCCTCCTCATCGTTGTTCTCCCATTTCCTCTCCTTCCATGGTGATGTTTGGCAGTCCTTTCCCCGTTGATGTGAAAAATTCCGCTCTCTGTCACTGTCCTCTAGCGACCGTCCCCATGTAGCTAATGCCGTATCTGGACTGAAAGTTGCACCAAATACAGCTGTAATGACCGGCCGGTAGCTAATGCCGTATCTGGACTGAAAGTTGCACCAAATACAGCTGTAATGACCGGCCGTTTCTATTCGTGTCAAGACGTTAGCTTGTCCTGCTGACACCGTAAAATCAACGGAACCAAAGCATTGACGAGGTGGTCTTCAGCGGAGCCAAAAGCACTGATGCCTCTCTGCGCTTTCTCTCGCAATCGGTCCTTTGTGCATACCTTCCCGTCTTCACTGGCATTGCCGTATCTAGATTGAAAATTGCCCCATATACATCTAAAATGACCGTACATTCTATTCGGGGCACGACACGCCTCTCTGTGTCGCCGACGTCTCCACCTGCTCCCCCTCTTCTCCATCCCCTAATTTTAGTCCTCCTTCCCCCCGTCTTCCTCTTCCATCGCCTAATCCGTCGCTTGTACAAAGCTCTTCTTCGTCTCATATGTTGCTCACCTCCTCTCCTTTTCCTCCTCTTCCTCCTCCTCTTCCTCCCCCTCCTCCTCCTCCTCCTCCTCCTCTTCCTCCTCTTCCTCCTCCTTCTCGTCCTTCGGCGCGGGCAATTAGCCATATTGGATTACCGAGTAAATGGTGGCAGACCTGCGTGCAAGGGCGCAGGGGCTGCTACCGTCTTCCCCGGAATAGAACTTAGGGTCATTATGTCTGCCCCGAATAAAAAGTACGGTCCTGATGTCTGTATTTGGCCTAACTGTCAGTGCAGATGCAGGGGAAATGACAGTACGTTCTGTTCGGGTGAAGACGGAAGAGTACGATGCGTGCGGCTTGCCGATTGCTTTCTCGATGCCTGCGGCTCTCCGAATGCTGTTTCGTTCCTCCTCCTCCTCCTCCTCCTCCTCCTCGTCTTTCCCCGCTCTGTTTCGCATATTGCTGTAGATCGGGTGATAATCCCAGCCTTGTTGAGGAAGGTCGTGCTGGGAACAGACGTCATGAAAATGGGCATGATGGGAAAATAACATTAAAAAAAGCAAAACAAAAAAACCTTATGGTCATTGAGGCAAGCATGCTTGTAAGTGGGGAGGTCTTGTGAAATCAATCCATCTGCGCGCGCTCATCGTCTTTCTGACCCTCCGCTCCGTCTTATCTCCTACTCGTGGAGTTTTCTCCTTGTCCTCGTATGTTTTTCTGACCAACAAGGGCCCAGTGCCCGAAGCCCAAGTCACTGAAGCACAATATGGCGCGCACATACTGAATTGGGAAAAGCTCCGGGACACTGAAAACGTTGCCTTTTCAGTGTTTCCATCGAAAGGATTTAGGATTTTCATCTCTATCAGCGTCCTGTTCCAGCAGTGGTCCCAAGGTTTGAAGTCCCGCGTAAACAGATGCTTCCCGCGTAAACAGATGCTTGCAGTCCAATCGGTCAGTACGTCGAGTCCGATAAGTCTCGGTAGGCCGTACGGTCCGTCCGTACAGGTCTTCGCTCTGCACTGCAAGTGCGTTCGCGTCATGGAAATTATTATTGTATAAGCGAGAGTTTAAACGTTAAAAAATATCGAGAAAAAGCCGTCGAGGCCGGGAGAGGGGGAGGGGACGGGCCCAGCTTTTCAGCGTCCCCTCCCTCCCTTGCTCGTGTGCAACCCACCCCAAGAGAACGTAAGCTCACATTCTCTCTCTCTCTCTCCCTCTCACCCTCTCTTCCGCATTTAGGGGTTTTTCAGCGTATTTGGGGAAATCTATCTGTGTATACAGCACCAAGGACCGCACGTTCTATTCGGGGGAAGGCGGTAGTCGTTGCTATCGTTGATCCCTACAGTTTTTCTTGCAGCCTGTCTCTTTCTCTTCTGATTCTGACTGTCTCCTCTCTCACATTCTCTCTACCTCTCTCCCTCTCTCCCTCTCTCCTCTCTCCCTGTCTCGCTCTCTCCTTGTCTCCCTCTCCCCTCTCTCCCTCTCTCCCTCTCTCCCCCTCTCCCTCTCTCCCTCTTCTCTCCCTCTCCCTCTCTCCTTCTCTCCTTCTCTCCTCTCCCTCTCTCTCTCTCTCCCTCTCCTTCTCTCCCTCTCTCCCTCTCTCCCTCTCTCCCTCTCCATCTCTCTATCTCCCNCTCTCCCTCTCTCCCTCTCTCCCTCTCTCCCTCTCTCCCTCTCTCCCTCTCCCCTCCCTTACTCTCTCTTCCCCTCTCGAGTTTCTCCCCCCCACTTGGGAACATCGTGGAGGCTCTGCAAGTTTCTCTTTTCCTCATCTCCCTCTCTCCCTCTCTCCCTCTCTCCCTCTCCCTCTCTCTTCCCCTCTCGAGTTTCTCCCCCCCACTTGGGAACATCGTGGAAGCTCTGCAAGTTTCTCGTTTCCTTATTCACTCCTTATTTTTAATGGATCTCCAATGGCTACTACTCTCTCTGCTCATGGTAATGAGAGGGAACGTAAAATACCAGGATTAAGGACAATTAAGCGCACATGAAGGCAAAAAACAGAGTGGAACGTTAAGTTTTTAGGGGACAGTTTCTTGATTGCTACTTTTATCGCCTTACGGTAATGTAGATGGATGTCTGTGCGTCTCGTGCAGATCGTGCACCCTTTGAGTGTGCACGTCCAGGTGTGCATTTGAGGTATAACGACATACCGGGAAGCGAAGACGAGATTGGTGGAAGCCCGGGAAATTTTCCCAAATGTGCATATAGGTCTATTGCATGGTAGTGTTTTTTTTTCCTGTTTATTTACAAAACTACATAAATATAATTGGAAGCCCGAGACGACGGTCATACTCGTCGCCCACAAGACGGAAAAAAGTCGCCGCCTATCGATTTTTTGATTTTTTTTGCACATTTGAATACATGATCGTTGGCCTGGTTTCGCTGCACAACCTCCTTAACGTATCTGGACTGCATCATAACCAAGAAACATTCGGACTTACCAAACTTTGTGAATGCATTGAGGTAAATAGAGGTGTGAATGCATTGAGATAAATAGAGGTCCACACATACATGTGGAGTGTTGTGTAGTGGAATGAGGCCTCATGGCTCTGTGAGATGCAGCATTGTTTATAAATTCTGGAGCGCAGAGCTGGCTGTCTGCATGAACAAGCTGTGGTGGAAAAATGTCATTTAGGTCTTCAGAAGAAAGAAGCATGGAGGAAAAAAAAGGTCTTTTAGGTTTTACTCGTGTGGAAGGACTATCGTGAATGAACCTGATCGATGTTCACGGTCGGATTCAGCCGAAAAACAAGCCTGAAAATGTCAATACGGTGTCCGAAAGAAACCGGAAAGGAAAAAACGTAATTTAGGGTGTGTACTGTAGCCACAGGACTATCGTGAATGAAAATCTGACGGAATGAAAATCTGAGTCTGAGGGAATGAAAATCTGACGGAATGAATATCTGAGTCTGAGGGAATGAAAATCCAGCAACTCTCTCTCTCTCTGTCTCTCTCGTGAAAATCTCGTGAATGAAAATCTGAGTCTGACGGAATGAAGCTGTAGCGGAGTGACTGACTGTCCCAAGCGTAAAGAATGTCGGTGTTAATAGGGGGCGGTATGACACCCTCGTCGTGAATGTATACAGTCCATGGTTCCGGTCAGATACAATCATGATGAGGGTGCGTTGTATTCGAGAGAAGACGGTAGGGCGCGGTTCCACATGCCGACGACCGCGGAGCATAAGATTGCGGGGGAATGTATCGGAAATTGAGCGCCGTCCAGGTTGAGGAGAATGTGTCTGGCCATGTTTGCTGTCAAGATTCATTGTCACAGGAGAATGTACATTTTTTTTAGCACTCTTTTCGCTT